AAGTTGTAGGAGCCAGTTGTGGTAACACAGGTGGCCAATTTCTAAATTTTTATAATTTGGCAGACTCTCATTGCTTTTGGTGGGATTTTTTTGTTTAAGTGTGATTTTAGTTTGTGGAGTTGATGTTTGTGAAGGTCATGTTGCAGATAAGAAAGAAGTCTGTTGAGTTGAACTAGTTAGGTGGAGTGTTGTAAGTGCAGGACCAATAAACACACATGTAACCGATTACAACTCCTTCGTAAATGATTACATGACTAAAAAGTGAGATTTGTACAGAAAATTAAGTTGTAGGAGCCAGCTGTGGTAACACAGGTGACCAATTTTTAAATTTTTATAATTTGGCAGACTCCCATTGCTTTTGGTGAGATTTTTTTTGTTTAAGTGTGATTTTAGTTTGTGGAGGTGATGTTTGTGAAGGCCATGTTGCAGATAAGAAAGAAGTCTGTTGAGTTGAACTAGTTAGGTGGAGTGTTGTAAGTGCAGGACCGATAAACACATATGTAATCAATTACAACTTCTGCGTAAATGATTACACGACGAAAAAGTTAGATTTGTACAGAAAAATATGTTGTAGGAGCTAGTTTTGATAACACAGGTGGCCAATTTCTAAATTTTTATAATTTGGCAGACTCCCGCTGCTTTTGGTGTGATTATGTTGTTTAAGTTTGATTTTAGTTTGTGGAGTTTTTGTTTGGGAACCCCATGTTGGACATAAGAAAGAAGTCTGTTCGGTAAAGCCAACGTCAGTCAGACCAATAATTAATAAATTTTTTTATTCAAATATAAAAATTACAGCACATGAACATAAATTAAAGCTTTCTATTGTGGTTCATAGTGATATTTGGTGATTAACATTACAACTACATCCATTAATGTGAACTTCAACTATAAGATCATTCCAACGGTGGTCAACCTCGAAGACAACAACGTCTCCTTCGTTCAAGCCATATTGGTTGCAAAATTCTTTCCATCCTTGTCCAAACTTTGTTGAATTCCTACTCTGTGAAATGAGAACTTTGCACATTATTCCATCCTTATCACCAAGAAGCATAACCTCTGTCAAACCCTTATTTCTAATTTCATTCGCAAAATTAGTATTCAAGTTCTGCGCAACAAGTTATATGAAGTGAATGACATTGTAAAATTACATTACTTATAAGAAAAGGTGGGAAAATTTTTGAAGGATTGCAGATGTACCAGATGACTTCCTTGACATTGTGACTGGGTCAATTTGACATCAAACAATGAGGATTGTGGATTAGTAGTACATCGATTAATGAATGATTCCCTACTGTTGTCGGTGCAAGGACCAACATAAATTATAATTTTGAAATTGTTGTGACGCACATATTGGAAGGTGATGTGGGCATCATTAAGCCTTTCATGGTAAATGTTTTTCATTGAAGACCATCTCGTCGTAATTTTGATGTTATAAGTTACGACATGTGTGAGACCATTATTGTCAAGCAACGACCACGTACTTCCTAACTCATTTTCAAATGCTGCAGCGAAATGCCTATCGACATACCCAAAATCTTGCACAAAAACTTGGTAAATTTAGAATAACAATATGGACGTTGAAAATTTTATTACAAAATAACATGTTTACCAAATCAGTTAGGTGGACGGTGACAAACTCCCACAGGATTGTTGACGGTCCTGCGCTGGATGATGCAACCATGCTTTGGATGATATGTTTGTCTTAGGAAACATGTCAATTGTCTTTGGTAGCATTTATTGGTATACGAACGTCTTTTGAATTCCAAGATGGTCATTGCCTTCCCTATCATTTATGGGTATACGAAAAAACATGTCAATTCATGTTCGGGAAAAAGAAATGTCAGAAAAGGAACAAATTTTCAGTCATGAGGAAGTTAGTTGCGGTTCTGAAACTTGTGCTCCAGTAAGGTGAGTTGTAATCGTTTACAACATGTTCGTAAACGATTAGACGAACAAAATATGATAATTGTACACAAATTTGTACTGTAGGAACCACGTGTGCTAACCTAGGTGACCTTTGTTTACAAAGAACATTTCTTGGTATAAGTCCATTGGTTATGACTTGGTTATGTTGTTTATGTGTGATTACAGTGTTACAGGTGATGTTTGGGAATCCCAGTATTCAGAAAACCACAAATGTTTATGATATGAGGCACTTGGGTGAAGTACAGAAACATGTTGACCAAAAAACACACGTGTAATCGTTTACAGCTGGTTCATAAACGATTACACGAACAGAATGCAATATTTGTACAAAAACTTGAACACCAGGATCCAGTTCTGATAACCTAGGTGCCTTTGTCTACAAAGAACAATTCTTGGTATAACTCCATTGGTTATGACTTGGTTATGTTGTTTATGTGTGATTACAGTGTTATAGGTGATGTTTGGGAATCCCAGTATTTAGAAAACCACAATTGTTTATGATATGAGACACTTGGGTGAAGTACTGAAACATGTTGACCAAAAAACACACGTGTAATCGTTTACAGCTGGTTCATAAACGATTACACGAACAAAATGCAGTATTTGTACAAAAACTTGAACACCGGGATCCAGTTCTGGTAACCTAGGTGACCTTTGTCTACAAAGAACAATTCTTGGTATAACTCCAATGATTTTTAGTGGATTTTGTTGTTCATAAGTCAAGTACAGAGCTTGATTTATTCATGTAGGTATTTATGAACAATAATCCGTAAAAGCTTGATGAATACATTGATGACAAGAACTTTAAATTTGCAGTAAAGAATTTAGTTTTAAAATCATTACAATAGTCAACTGCTAACACTGTAATCTAATAATTTTCAAAATGACAATATATAAAAGTAAACAATAAAAACTAAGGACGAGGTTCGTTGTCAAAGTGGGTGCGCAAGTGTTGCAGTTGGTCCTCAATGTTAACAACTCGCGATTCAAGTGAATCAAATCTTGTCCCCATTGCGATGTCCATGTTTCCAAACCTTATACCAACAAAGGTGTGCAGTTCTTCGATGCGATTGATTACATCATTTAGTGTTGTAGAAATACTGACTTCTTCGTTATCTTGTTGTTGTCCGCCTTGAAGTTCTTCATTGGGGGCGTTATCTTTTGGAACCCACACTCCCTCTGCATTTTGCACATACCCGAATGAGCATATAACTTCAGATCTCATGCTTTGTTTGGCCTTAATCTGTGTACAAGGATCAGTCTCAGTAGGGACTTCAAAGTGTTCCAAGAAGATGGTTATCAAATGAGGATAAGGTAGTCTGGCATTTTCCTTTAATGCCCTTTTCATCCTGTATCTTATAAGATGTCTCCATTTAATTTCCATGGAATTGAAAAGGGCCCAGAGCAACATAATATCCTCTTCGGATGCCTGGCCAATATTAGTTGCACGAGGAATTAATACTCGAGTAAGAACGTAATGAAGTAGCCTATGTTGAACCTTCATTTGTCCAGCCAATATTCTGCCTTGTATGTGAGCATCATTTCTACACACGAGTTGCCTAGCACTTATACAATCGTAGTGCTCTTTCCACTCATCGACAATTCCTCCTTCATAACGAACACCAGCAGATGGGAGAGAAGTGAGCTCATTAAAAACTTTAGGGCTTATTCTTATTTTGACCCCTTTGACTTCGCTTCGAATAACACTCGTATCCGAAATGGACATGTTGCTGTAGAACACTCTTACTAATTCGGGGTAGAAATGTCTTCGTAAGGACACAAATTCTGTCAGCCCAGCCTCGGACAATATGTCGATATTTGCTTTCCAAAATTTCACGATTGTAAAAATGGTTTGCAAATTTGTCATATTGTTCATCAGAGGAGAAAAGTTCTTTGTTTGGTGGTGGTGGGGATGATGGTGGGGATGGTGTTGGACTGCGTTGGCGACGACGTGCATCACGAGAAGAAGATGACCTTCGTTTCTTCTGTTGACGATCAACCATTGGACGATTGTAAGGGTTATCAGATGAACATTAATGTAGGGAGGGTAATTGAACAACTTTATGACTGGGTACTTAAGTAGACGAAACCTAAAAGTGAGGGATGTGGGGAAAGTAGGTTGAAGAGTGAGTAGTTTTATTGACAAAGCATGAGACCTAATGTGTGGGACGTGGGTAGAAATTGTTGAAGAGTGGGGTTCTTATATATGTACGCAGTATGTGCTGTAATCGGTTACAGCTAACTTGTAAATGATTACAAGAAGGTTTTTTTCGTCCAGTGAATTAATTTGAGAGTGGTCATCAAGCAATGCTTTACCATCAAAATACACTTATTTATTTAGATGACATTTACACAATAATGTTATATACATACAAAAAGAAGTAGGAAATTATTTACATCAAGCAATGTTGTTATCAAAATTGTTATGAACAGATGACAATAAAAACATAAATCCGGAAGGAGGCACTTTGGATTGTTGTGATACTTGGTAAGATTGGTAACATTGGGATCCATATTGCACGACCTCTGGACTTTGTATCACGTCAGGTATTGTTGTGTCCTGAATGAACACAATTATAATTAGAATACATGTAACAAAATGATGTAATACATGGAAAAAAACAAACAATTTCATTACTCACACAATCTTGTACCAATGGTGTTAAATTATTTTTGGATGAAGTTCTCCCTTTTTTGGTTCTTTTCTCAAAAGCTGACTTTAACCTGTTCGTGCATGGTCTTCTTTTTCGCTTCATTGCTAAAGGGCTTGCACCATCAGTGTCGGGTATTGTACCGATGACCGGATTGTTATACTGTAGTTCGCCTTCTTCACTAATTATGTTATTTGTGATCATTGAACTGCATCCAAACCTTTTTCCGAGGAAGTGAAGTTCTTTTTCCAAGTCATTACAAGCAGTTTCCGACTCACAAGAAACCTCAGTTATTTCATAGAATCGTTTGCACAGAATTTGGTATCTTTGCATGGTTGGTTCATGATAGGAATTACTATATGCTGCTCTAATCAGAGTGTGCCTTCTACGGATATTTTTGGTCCACCGCCTTAGAACATATTTTTAGGGGACACTATAAGCATCTTCCTGACCAAATACCAAAAGGCAATGGCGATAAATGATGCCTCTAAACTCAAATAATAGGCAAGAACATGTGCAATGTTTTGTCTCTGGATCAAGTTGCACCTTAAAAAATTTATCTGCACATTTACCCTCCCACATGCGCTCCTCTTTCATTGTGTAAGTGTTAAAGAAGTCATCCTTCACGGTTTCTTTGATGAAACAATTCATCCTTGACCGAAACTCCGTTTGGACTTCCTCAAACCTTGCATGAGTGTACTCTAACTGAAATTGTCTCTCGATCGGTGACTGAGAGCCACATGTAACCTTCATGTTTAGGGACGAGAAATCAACTTGTATTTCTTTTTGTGCCTTAACTCTGGGGGCATTGTCGTATTGAACCACAAATTGTTGAAGTGTGGTACTATAATTTATAAATCCATCAAAGAAAGCATTCATTCCCTCACTTCTTTGAGTAGTTGACATGCCTGCCCAAAAATGATTCCTCAAGTAATAAGGAACCCATTTCTGTCTCTCTTCATACAAAGTACATAACCATTCATTCTCCTGTAATCCATGCCTCATTAGTAGTTCTTCCCAACCGTTCCTAAATTCCGTTGGACAACCACAGTCGTAGACAAGCTTGTTCAGATCAGTTTTGATGGCAGATATTGTTTATAACCTTGAAATTTTTCAGGCAACTTTTTCATTATGTGCCATAAACACCATCTGTGCCTAGTATTTGGAAATACTTCTTGGATGGCATTCGCCATTGCCCTACATTGATCAGTTATAATCCCAATTGGTGGCTTATTACGCATGCATCTTAGCCAACACTGGAATAACCATACAAAAGAGGCAGTGTCTTTGGACGACATCAATCCATAACCAAGTAAAATGGAGTTACCATGATGGTTAACTCCGACGAAAGGCGCAAAAGGTATGTCATACTTATTTCTTAAATATGTGGTGTCGAAAGACACGACATCATCAAATTCTTCATAGGCAGCTCGAGTTCTTGCATCTGCCCAAAACACACTACAAATTTTATTGTCTTCATCCAATGCAATGTCATAAAAGAAATCGCTATTTAAATCTTTCATTGATGAACTGGTAATAAGTTCATCTTTCCTCCATTCGTGTGTTTTCTGTAACATGCAAAACCAGATTCCTGGTTGCATGAGTTGATCCTATCATTCTGAGTATCTCGCTGGTTTTTATGTTGGTTATAGCTCTTAGAATGTGCTGTAGAACGTTAAGGCTTCTGGTAGAAGGAGAACCCTAGTCTATATCTGTGAACGTTCGGATATCTTAAGAGGTAAGGGAAGCTTATTAATTTAATTTATATGACTATGTGTTGCATGAACGTTCGTTGACTTGATTTGATATGAAAAATGATTGTGATATGTTATGATGCATGAAATGTATGAAAATTCTATGATTCGATGGTATGAGATATGTAAAAATTGTTTATGGTATGAATGTAGAAAGGTGTGAACTATATGTTAAGAACTGAATTTGAATAATATTGATTCTGATAAGAAATTTCCCTTAAGAAAGTGTACGTTCGTTACTGAACGGTCATTGACCGTTCGGTTCTTCTGGTAAACATAGTTGAAATGGGATTCTTTCATTTGGAGAGAATCATATTTGAGGACGAGCGTCTTCACTTCGGAATACTGTGTATGAGCGTTCAGCCAAGAACAGTTGGGTATTAACGTTCGGTTATAAATCTAAGTATATATGTAATTGTATATTTTATTGATCGTAAACACTATTTCAATATTATTGTACTATGTTTATCAAGGCTTTTTATGTTAAAGCATTAGTGCTCGGTCTTACACCAGGCACTCGTTCCATGTCCTTAAGCTAATATCAATACGAGTGTTCGTTTAAGCCCTCTAGGATTCGCTCTCTATAGCGTTCAGTCTTTGACTGACATTTTGATTCCTTGGTACTAAACTCAATTAAATACCAACGTTCAGTTTTCTTCATGTGAATCACTCTAAGTACCAGTTTTTGAATGCTTAGAAATATCCTTATCCATTGATTTCACACTAGAGTCCACGTCCTTGGGTTGGTTTTCTTTTAATGTTCTGAGTGAGTTCTCAAGAGTCAGTTCATCTAATTGACTAAACGTTGAAATTGACGTTCGTCCCATTCGTCCTTGGAATATATTATTGTACTCGTTATCTCTCATTTTCATTCCACGTGTTCGATCTTGTTCTCCGTTCGGGTTGAACGTTCGTCATTTTAGAGTTTATTGAAATCTTTGTCCGAGATAGTTCACTGAGATATTTATTAATGAAAGATGAAGAAAATGTGATTTAGAAATGTTGTGGATTATGGACGAGCGTTCCGGGTAGGAACGACTCATGTATGAATATTTGAATTGGTAAAGTATGACTGTGGGCATGCTAAGCTGGCCGTTCATCCTGATGTTCCATGAGTACTCGTCTTCACGTAGAGGAGGGTAGGTCATGTGTGGGAACGGCAGGAGGTCCTAGTCCTTAGGGGTACTTTGGACAGAGAGGGCTAACCTCGGGTGGCAGCTGTTGAGTGTATCCCAGTTACTACATCACCCGAGTGCACGAACGCCTGTAGCTACACAGATTTCATACAGTCCGGACGGTCAATCTAGTGATAGGCTTCGTAGTGATACCTGTGTTGAAATGCTATTGTGTGTGTTGGATGGTTTAAATTATATGGTGATACATAAATTAAATTACATAAGCTTACCCTGTGTTTTTCCTTGTGTTGTCTCGTCTTGTGCGTTCGTCTTGTCGTTACAATGATCATCCGTGTGGATGTGAGCAGATGGTGATGTGCTGCTGGAGGAGACGCTAGAAGAAGAAAATTTGATCGAAGTAGAAGTAAAGGCCGAACCGTAGTATGTTCGGTTAGTAGATAGTAGGTTATTATGAGGTGATCGTTCGGTCACCTCCTCTCTTTTGTGGTTATCTGACCGTTCGGTAATTGTCTTTTGTAAACCGTTCGGTCATGATTTCTCTTATCTTAAACAGTGTAGTTGGAAATTTTATGTAAGGTCGTTCGGCCATAAGCGTACGTCGTTAGTGTAAAATTGAATTGATATATTATTAAATGTAATTAATTCTATGATATGGTTTATTACTGTATTTTTGGGATGTTACAGATATATAATATAAAGATGAAATGGTCATAAAATAACAAATTTTTTTATTTTTTTTTTAAGAAAAATGAAAGTAAAAATAAGAAAGATTAATATCAAATGAAAATAAAAAATTTATACGTGTTCAAGTATATTTTTTTATTCGATGTTATCGCATTTTATTGTGAGTTATATCTTTTAATTTCTAGTTCGGAACATTGTTTTTCATACATCTTATAACAATTATAATCACTTCTTAATTTATGTAACAAAATAGTAAGAAAAATCACATCAATGATAACCAAATGCAATCTTTGGAGACTAACATCAACGAGTTTACTTGTTTTATCATTCTCTTTTTTATATTATATTTCTTAACAACACGTCCTATAACATCTACAACAAAAGAGATATGAAGTAGACTTAAGTAAATTAAAAAACAAAGTCATAAAAATATATATAAATTTTGATAGTAATATTATACTAAAAAAAACACACCTTTAGTATAAACTAGTATATCAATAAAAGACATACAAAGTAGCATATTGTTATAGATTCATCTTCAACTTTGAACACTTCAGTATCCATAGAACCAAATTTGAATTTGTAAATAGTTATTCTAAATTTTGTATCATTAATATGTAACATTCGATCATCATTAGAAAAAATATTAATATTAATAAAAATTTAAAGCATGTCTATTTATATATATTAAAACCAAAAAGATAATATTTATTTATACATTTTTATGAACAATAATTATTTTTTAGTTATTCTGGTAGTAATTTTTATTTGGATTGATTAAAAAGTATAATAATCACATCAAGATTAATTAAACAATATGAATACAAATAGTTAACTTTTCAGACGCTTAATACGTGAACTGAGTTTTAAAACAAGAATAAATTAAATAATTTGAATTTACATGAAGAATGTGAATGGCTTTTTGTTAAATATTTTAATGTATAAGTTTCATGTAACAATTAAGAGATGTCCTTCATACTTTTAAGCGGAAAATGAACTACATCAGAATTTGTAGATATTGCAGATAATGAAATCATAGAAAATAATATAGCATTTACATAGCAGCTAGCTAAAACACATTCTACAAAATTTCAGCCAATGGATGCAGAAACATTGGCAGATGGATAATTATAATCACTTCTCTCTCATACAGGAAAAATGATACCCACAACTATAGTAACTAGTGCTAATTCCACCAAAACTTCAAGGGAGAAAACCGGCTAAAAGAATACGAATTTGAAGTTCAGTATCATTGCTTGTTAGTGTTCTTGTGCTTGATGCGATTTTCCTCTGTAATTAATTGAAATTCTTTCTCACTAGCCGCAATCAGGCGCTTAACAATGTCGTATGTGGTAAGCTTGATGCTTCAGAGAAAAAAACGACGATATAAGAAACTGATGACATGAAAGCACAAAACTTTAGGTGTCAAAATGAAAAATCTAAGGGGAAGAATATGAGCATTGCTAAAAGGTAACAGGGTCAATAATATGATAATCTTAGTTCTATAGGATTAGAAGATCCTAGGAACCTGCTGTTTGGTAGGGATTTTAGAGCATTGGGCACAAATCCACGATATAACCCAGCTACTCCATCTCGTGCCACAATACCTGCATCAACAGATGTATAAATTTGTTCAATATGTTATCAACAGAAGCATAAAAATACATAGAGGTTGATCTCAGCCTGTTAAAGTAACCATCATCAGTAAGAGTTTGATTCCTCAAATATATAAGGATCATTGAACAGTGAATGATAAACTTTACTGCTTTATTTAAATAGAAAAGTATTTAGTTAAGAATGGGAAGATTCTTAATATGTTGTACTTGTAATTCGACATGTAATCTTAATGGCATACGTGATTTTAAGGAAGTAAAGAAAATCGAAGGAACTAAAAGGAAATGAAAAAAAGAAAGTAGAAAATGAAGACATTTTATAAGTTGTTAGCTAGAAGAGAAAGTTAAAACTTTTATGTATTCTTTTCTCATTGTCAAGAAAGTGAAAGCAAAAGAAAAATAAATATTTGTCAAAACCCAATGGCTGTGATTGAAAGAATAATTGGGACACTTTTACGACGCATAAGCAGATTTTCTAATATATTTCCCTTGGAAACTTCTGCATTATAATGCCAAATAACCAATATGGCTTATTTGTCAATAATGGGCAGCAAATCAAGTGAGTGATTATGACAGGATACTGGGTGATAGGATAGAAGGCCGGGGAGCCGAACGGAGGCGAGGGGAAGCAAGCCAAACGAAGGCGGTGAAGAGCTGGAGCTGAACGGTAGGAAGCAGGGGGAAAGCAAGCCGAACGGTTGAAGGCGATGAAGAGCTAGAGCCGATCGGTTGAAGAGTGACTATCTTAACTGGGACATCTGTTAGGATAGGCGGAAAATATTTATAAATAATTATAGTAAATAAGGCCATATCCTAGGGAAATATTTAGTATAAGTTAATTATAGTAAATAAGGCCATATTCTAGGAAAATATTCAGTATAAGTTAGTTATAGTAAATAGAGCTATATCCTAAGGAAATATTCAGTATAAGTTAATTATAGTAAATAGAATTATATCCTAGGGAAATATTCAGTATAAGTTAATTATAGTAAATAGAATTATTGTCACGCCCCAATAATTACTCCGCTGAGTCACCACTGTGCTTCCATTAATGCACCGTGACACGCACAACCTTCCATTAAAACGCACTCACACTCACACTGCATGCATGCTGACAAGTGTCACTTTTGAACGTTCCAAGAGTTAGTGGAATCCAAGTGGCAGCACGCGGATGGACGTTCGTCCTACGTGGGGGGAGAAATTAATTTCTCTGGAAAACTCTTCCCATTCCTCTGCACACTTCATCTTCTTCCTCCAACTCTCTGATCTCAAACTCTCTACCTTCTCTCTAGAACCCCTTCATCTTCTCTCTTCTGCAACTCACCCTTCTTTGCTC